TTATGGAGGCAAGTTTTAATGCATTTTATGGAGGCAAGTTTTAATGCGTGTTATGGAGGCAAGTTTTAATGCATTTTATGGAGGCAAGTTTGAATGCGTGTTATGGAGGAAAGTTTTAATGTATTTTATGGAGGCAAGTTTTAATGCGTGTTGTGGAGGCAAGTTTAAATGTGTGTTATGGAGGCAAGTTTTAATGCATTTTATGGAGGCAAGTTTTAATGCGTGTTATGGAGGCAAGTTTAAATGCGTGTTATGGAGGCAAGTTTTAATGCATTTTATGGAGGCAAGTTTTAATGCGTGTTATCGATGCTTGATTATGTATGTTTTCAAGAAAGTTATTGATGATCGAGCAGACAAGTTTTAATGAAAGTTATGGATGATCAGGCATTTATAAGTCAAGATTATGTGAAAAGCTAGCTTTAGAGCAAATGCATTCCTTGCGTTGGAACATTGCAAACATGAAAAGCTTTTTATGTCAATATAGTTACATTATATGTCCTTAAGCTTCCAATGCAGTGTGATGTCTTTAAGCTTCCAATGTTGGTGTGATGTCATTTATTGAATAATGGATTGTTTTTTACCACCATCATGAACTCCTACGTTTTCATCGCTTACAAAAGACACCAAAAATTACAGGGTAAAAAGAAAAGATCGAAACGTAAAACAAATAAGGAAATTAACAAGAAAAATGACACATCAAAAAATAAAATTATAATCTTTACAAGTGTTCCTCGGTTTTTTTTATGAACTTTGTTTCAGATAAGTAGGATGCCTTTTTGGATAAACAGAATACAAGACAAATGTTTGTTTTCTTTTCCACTGGCTTTAGTCATTGCTTTCAGGCAGTACACCAACTCCGAATCGAAATATATAACTATTTAAATTATGTTCTGTACCGTAAGAAATTAAAACATTCCTATCAGAAATATGAACAACAAACAATACCGGGTGACTCACTCAGAATAAGGGTCGACCTGGCTGTTTTAGGAATTAATGAATGTGATACTTTGTCGCTTAAATCAAGTTCATATATATATATATATATATATATATATATATATATATATATATATATATATATATATATATATATATATATATATATATATATATTTAGTTCCTTATATGTGATTAAATTGTAAGGTTTAAAATTCTTTTTATTTCATTTTTGCTTCATTGCATTTAATTGCAATGAATGTGTTTCTCGGATTCAGGATTCTATTTTTATTAGTGAGATAAAATTTTAGCACAAAATTTGTTTTTTTAAGATGAAATAGTAATACATGAGCGTTTGGCATTTAGTTCGCCTTACCTTGGTAACAAATCAACAGGAAGTTAAAATGATTGGTCAGCATCACGGACATACTTTATTCGCATGATCAATGTTGATAAACAACCTATTTTTATGATTAGTTTTTAAGTCGGTCTATACTGGCAGACGTGACAAAAATAGTATAATAAGAGACCACATGACCAATCTCGCGAGATTTGAAGCGATGTTTTTGAGTGTAAATACGTTTTTTTTTTAATATTGGTTTGGCCAGAGTCATTCAAAACATTGGATGGAAAAAGTGTGTTTCTGTATTTATTTAAAAACTTTTAACAGAATATTTTACGCTTTGTCTGATTTTTGGATTTAACAATTTATTTTCCTAGACACTCAACAAGTTGACTTTCTTATAAAAAAAAGGTTCTGAATGATATTCAAGGAAATTAATTCTGGAATTATTCGAAAACAAATAATGTGATTCAAGTGAGGAATTATTGTTATTCATATATTGGACTACATTTGACGTCATCGCCCTCCATATTCATTCATCGTCGGGACTCGAACCAGGATTCTTATAGGACTATTTAGTGATAAGACTTGTGTTTTTATTCTTTGAATCATATTTTGATTATATTCACCAAAATATTCCTATTTACTAATGTTTACGTTGTTGTCATGGGAAATAAATTGTTTTGTTGAAATACACAAGGCTTGTTGGATTTCACGCTTTACTTTGATACTGAGTACGAGCCCTTGTCACGTAACATATGGTCTCTTATTGTAATGTTTATGTCACGTCTGCTATGCTAGTACAGACCGATATATATATATATATATATATATATATATATATATATATATATATATATATATATATATGTATATATATATATACACACATATATATATACATATATGTATATATACATATATATGTGTGTGTGTATATATATATATATATACATATATATATATATATATATATATATATATATATATATATATATATATATATATATATATATATATATATATATATATATATATATTTTTATAGCAGCAGTACAAAAAAAACAATACTGTATAACCAACGAGACTTGAATATTCCTTAGACTGATTGTGCATGAACCAGATACCTGGAAATTATGTACTGTTTTTTTTTTTCGCTATTCTATTGTGTGACTTGCATGCAAAATTATATGGAAACAATAAAGAAAAGTGAACCATTTCTTGACGGATACAACAGTGATGCCTTAAGAAAGAAATCTGTCGTATTGAAAGTGCATGTTACTAATTTTACTTTAATTTATGTGTTTAAATGATAATCTCGCGAAATGAAATTCATTTTTCGAGTTGCATGTGTAATTTATGTATGAGAAACAATGACATCTGATAATGACGGAGGGTAAGTTCCGGTGTTTTTTTTTAAAACCGATCACTTTTATGTAGGCATTATGGGATTGCGTACTTGATTTACTTAAAACAATTTAAGATCTTTACAAAATGCAAGACTACGCACCTCTGAAAATGAAAATTTTACAACGGAAGTGCTCGAATAGGCATCGGCAATTTTAAGTTTGGATAAAAACACTTTTATGAAATAATTCTTTTTTAAATACTTCCAGGATATGAACTTTACTGATTTCAGTAAGTCGTGAAAATTAATAAAGTAATTGGGTCACGTGTTTAGAATTAATTTGTTGCTATTCGTGTACAGACTATGTACGTGAACTCAGAAATGGTCATCGTAGGGATAATATCCAAAATTGGAAAGTAAGTCACCAGACGGTAGAGTAGCTTATGGAGCGACTTTGGAACACCTACCATCTTACTAAAAGTGCTAATGATACGCACTTCGCCATTCTGACTTCCTTGGTTATTTCTGCTACACAAAAGTGTAGCTCCACTGTATGTCGGCGAAGTAATTCAGAGAAATATCTTGCATTTCGTTCGCTGGAAATGTCTTTGAAAAAGAAACAATATAGTCAGAATAGCTTGGCTATTTCTACGATTTGCTTCACCGTAAGACTAATCAATCAGTTACAAAGAGAAGACCAATCTTATGTAAATAATGTCTACTAACGTTATATAACCATAAAATTATACAATGATACATTTTGATAAAATCTTAAAACTATACAATAATACATTTTGATATTATCATAAAAGTATACAATGATACATTTTGATATAATCTTAAAACTATACAATGACACATTTTGATATAATCATAAAATTATACAATGATACATTTTGATATCATAAAAGTATACGATGATACATTTTGATATTATCATAAAATTATACAATGATACATTTTGATATAATCATAAAATTATACAATTATAGATTTTGATATAATCATAAAATTATACAATGATACATTTTGATCTAATCATACAATTATACAATGATACATTTTGATATTATCATAAAAGTATACAATGATACATTTTGATATAATCTTAAAACTATACAATGACACATTTTGGTATAATCATAAAATTATACAATGATACATTTTGATATCATAAAAGTATACGATGATACATTTTGATATTATCATAAAATTATACAATGATACATTTTGATATAATCATACAATTATACAATGATACATTTTGATATAATCATACAATTATACAATGATACATTTTGATATAATCATACAATTATACAATGGTACATTTTGATATAATCATATAACTATACAATGACATCGTTTGATATAATCATACAAAAATTATACAGTGAAACATTTTGATATTATCATAAAACCTTACAATGATATATTTTGATATAATCATACAATGTTATAATGATACATTCTGATATCATCATAAATTTATACAATAAAATATTTTGATATATAATCATAATATGTTATAATAATATATTCTGATATAATCATAAAATTATACCATTTTGGTATAATCATAAAATTTTACAATGATACATTCAGATATAATCATAAAATTTTACCATGATACTGTAAAAATTTGGAGTATTCGCATTTGTTTCTAGCTCACCATTTCAAGAATTTCTTAAATTTTTGTGATTACTTGTTGGCCTATAGGAAGTCGATGCTGGAGAGATATTCCTCAGACCAAACAAATAAGCCATTTACTATGGGTTAATGTCACGGAGTGAAGTGTTAGTGAGTTTCCATGATGCCATTTTTTATATTTGGTGGATTCATATCAGATCCGCATGAGTGTCCGTGTCACCAATTGTTTGATTTGATTGTGTGTTTCAAGGTGCATTATTCATAATTGAAGACTGGTAAATTATACAATAAAATAAACGAGTATGGACTGATCCGTTGCCGGAAGTCTCCGCTATTGTTGCTATAGTGGTGTAGAGGTGAAATGTGGCTTAACATCGTGATTTGACTGGCCTAATGTGACATAGTAAAAGTTCCATGTATTGGTTGAGTTGTACAGTTTAATGTCGCGAAATACAGGCGGAAAGTTAATCAGGAAAAAACATGCCGTTGTAAGGTTTACAGGCAATTAAGTGATGTAATGTGATTATGAGTTTTAACGTAGTTTTTAACAATTTTTCAGTTATATCGCTAAGATGTCTGCCATGTGGCAGTTTATAGTGATTCTAGCACTGGACATCATGACGCAGACATGCAGCATGATGTCCTACCCAGTCACATTTTTCTGACACCAGGCCGACCAATCCTAACACAAACCTCTTAATGCTGAGCGCCAAGTCTTTAGTATGACTCGACCGGGGATTGAACCCACGACCTCCCGCATACGAGGCAGACACTCTAACCAGTAGGCCACCGAAGCTGTCAACAGGCAATTAAGTAGTTGTGAGATCTGTAGACGTGTATTAATTAGAGTAAGCTAGATTATAGTTTGGATAAGTTGGTATTTCCAGAGTGCAGCCATATTTATATGTGGGTCTTTGGAATCAGGGGAAACTTATGACTTATAGCGGGATTCGCGCCACGAGTACTGTAACCTGTACGACAGTTAGTTTAAACATATTTCATTGCCATAAATGTTATCAAATGGGGTAGGGCAAAAGGTTTTAACAAATAAGAATACGCCCTTTCCTTACGATCAATAAGATATATACATAGATAGCGGTACAACATTAATACGAGTTCATACAAACAGCATTTAAATATGCACAATTGGGGGATGAGAGAGAGAGAGAGAGAGAGAGAGAGAGAGAGAGAGAGAGAGAGAGAGAGAGAGAGAGAGAGAGAGAGAGAGAGAGAGAGAGAGAGGGAGAGAGAGAGATATTGGGGGATGAGAGAGAGAGAGAGAGAGAGAGAGAGAGAGAGAGAGAGAGAGAGAGAGATAGAGAGAGAGAGAAAGAGAGAGAGAGAAAGAGAGAGAGAGAGGAATGTGAATAGAGACTGGGCAAGTCTACATACGCGAAAATGAATATAATGGCTAAAATTATTAACAACATCGAGAATCTACCAATGTATTTATGTTTTTGTTTTTTGTTTTTAGCTATCTTAGCTCTTAGTGATTGCTTGCTTGATTATGGGAAGTTAGTGTTGAGAGATATTTCCCAGTCCGAGTGATTAGGGAAATTTCTTGTCATAATATACGAACTTTACGAGACCTTATGATGCCATAAATTAGTTTTGTAAAATGGTATTCGTGTTTAGCAGCTTATGATGGAATCAGAGCAGGATCACATGTTTCCGGTGTGAAATATATATGACAAAAAAAAACCCAATATTTTACCATGGAACAGTTTTGGGAAGGGTTCATGCCTTTATTTAGAGATACCTTTAATTGTGGTTGCGAAAGAAATGGGTCAAAGTAAGATCTGTTTTTAAGTTGACCTGAGGTGGAACCGGAAGTACAACTGTCCAGCTGCAAAAGGCCTACCAATAAATCATGTAAATATGAAACAAGGAGAAATCATGCCAATGTGAAACAAAAAGGCATTCCAACGTGAAAATGGGAGAAGCCGTGCAAATGTAAAGTTATAGTTTATTTCTTAGTATTGTTCAGAGTATTTGCTCTTAAAAAAAAGTAACAGAAAAGAGTGAAGAAAACAAACTTTGTAAAATTTAACAAATAATTTATTTCCCTAGAATATAAAGTTAAAATTTTGGGACAAATAACTTTCGGTTTTATGAATTAAATCCAAAATTAATCCAAGAATTAAAAATAGAAGTCCAAGTAATAAAAAGTACTGAATGAAACTGAGTTTGAGTCCTAATGAAATCTGAAATTCAAGACGATGACGTCATTTGTGGCGAGAGTAGTGATGCTATGTCAAGAGACTCTTGCTTAATCAATAAAAATATTATGACAGTTTTGTATCAGTAAAAATTTCAGCAAATGTCTAATTCAAGAATTTTGTAGGATCTTTTATGTTTCTCAGGGAAAAAATCATTTGAATTCAATAATTTGAAGAAAATAAAAAATTATCCTAAATTGGTTACAACATAATAACAAATTAACGTGTCATTTGTTTTGAGCAAAACTGACAAAATTCTATCAAAAACAAGTCATACGCTAAGACGCAAGACAGATTATATGATGAGGGTTAAAAGTTCATTATCATTGAAAAAATTAGAAATTTGTTAACAATCGATATATGGCTACTTGTCACGTAGTCCGGGAATGACATTGACATAACTTACTATGAGAAAGATTCAGCAAATGTCTAATTCAAGAATTTTGTAGGATCTTTTATGTTTCTCAGGGAAAAAATCATTTGAATTCAATAATTTGAAGAAAATAAAAAATTATCCTAAATTGGTTACAACATAATAACAAATTAACGTGTCATTTGTTTTGAGCAAAACTGACAAAATTCTATCAAAAACAAGTCATACGCTAAGACGCAAGACAGATTATATGATATGGGTTAAAAGTTCATTATCATTGAAAAAATTAGAAATTTGTTAACAATCGATATATGGCTACTTGTCACGTAGTCCGGGAATGACATTGACATAACTTACTATGAGAAAGATTAAAACAATAAGTAAAACAGTTGTTTACCAATCCTGTCCTTGATTTTGGAACAACATCTGAAACTAGATTCAATCTTTCTATTGTTTTTGTTTACTTCAATGAAATAAAAAAATATAAAAAATATCAGGCGGCTCAAACAAAACTACCTTACAATATCATGTAATGGAACTTAAAAAATTAAAACTAACAAGCAAGCAAGATAAATATACATAACAGTAGTCATCGGTTAATTAGAGACATATGGTTTGTAGTCTGCATGTTATGGAATCTTCCAGTCGATGTCATATGTGATCAAGATTTTTTTTACGACTCTATTGTCATAAACTAAGTAGCGGAAAAAGCAAATCCAACAAATTTCGTATGACAAATAAATTCAATATTAAAGTTATAAAATGATAATGTAAGAGGAAAGTAGTATATACCAGAGCCTCAGGTAGACAGTAATGTTAAATTTGGTCGTTTGTACCGTAGCCTCAAGATTTATAGCTTCACGAATATTTCTATGTTAAATTTAGGGGTTGTACTGTAGCCTCAATATTGATTATGGGGTCAATATGAATGGATCAGGTGGGGTGACGTCACGGTACTAGTAACAATGTTGCAAAAGGCAGACATGAATATGCCCAGCTATCTAAGTAGGGACAAACACATTAGAGACAGAGACATGGAAACATAATTAGAAACATAGAAATATACAACATTACAACAAACAAATTTCAAAATAGAAAAAAATCTTTTCAAAGTATATGAAGTGGCCCTGAAAATGGACTTAGGGTTCATCTCCTTATATTTTCTCCAGTTCTTCCACCAACATCTTGCTTTTTGTATGATTTATTTATTCTTTTCCTTCTTTGGCACCCACTCTTGGTGCAATCTTTATCCGCCACCTTTTTGAACTTGTTCGCTGTGTCAGGTTTACATACCACGCAGGCATCCAGGTGGTTGTTTTGGCTTCTTTTTCATTTTCCAGGTACGACCAATAAAAGTAAATATCCATGCTGATGCTGACCAATTTGTCATTCAAATACAAATCCTCCTCGCTGAACAAGGAATGCCTCATCGTCATATAGCTTGCTATCATCCGTATCGTTCATTTTGACTTTCAAAAACAAGTAACCACTGTTCTGATCGATATAATCTATCTTTGATTCTTTGATTTCGAATTCGATCGGAGCTGAGGCCGTAAAAGAAGAGATGAGATCAAATTCTACCCATTGGGATATTTGCAATGTCATCATGGTGGATCGCATGGCAAATAGATCCAGTTCTGGCTTGGAACAGGCGCAAACTGTGCAACATTTTCTTTCTTTCTCTCTAATTTTTTCAATAATTAAAAATGTCTAAATATCGGTCGGTTCCTTTTCCTTAGTCTTTCTAGTACTGGGTGTGTGAAGTCCTCTGGAGGGGTGTGTTCTTCGTCGTCTTTTTCTGCTTTGTCCTTGCCGTAGTGTCAGGGAATTAGAAATATCTGCCTCGGCAGTGTCCATGACATTTATAGGAGTTTCTCATCGGCCCAAAATGTCTTTGCCAGTTTTAAGCAAGACCATTTTTGCCTGTTCTCAAATAGCTTCTTTGAGGTTGTGTTAGGCGATGATGACATTTTGTAGAAATTTTTTGCCTTGCGTTAACGTAGCACCTTTCAAGACGTGAAATTCTTGAGTTACCATGGGTTTAATAATCGGGGCCACCGAACGAAAGACCGATTTTAACATATCTCCTAAACAATGTCTTCGCCGTCGAGCGTCTCCTTCGTACACTAAATACATGACTTACGAGACGTTAGAGAATCGTTTTCGAAAATGGAGTTTCACTCTGACTTGCCATTTGGTGAAAGGAATATTTTGCTCCAGATCTTCTTTTATAGCAATGTTGACAGTGTCAAAATACGACTTACTGACGGGAAAATAGAGAGGATGTACAAATTAGTGGTGAACGTAATAGGTGATTCAACCTTCCTTGTCAACGGTCGTGACAGAATCCATTTTGAAAAGAATGGCACGCATTGGCGTACGTAGGTGTGTCCCACCACGTTACTCCACCACATTGGAGTACACAAAAAATCAAACTGAGTCCTTGGCTCAGTTCTAATGGGAAACTAAATTACTGTCCAAATGTATTGCTGTCGTAAACGATTGCTAATTCGCCTTTTTCCTCTACAATCTTCCTGATCTCCATGTCCCTACCGACAATGTCATACAATTCAAGACAAAATACAATGGCTACCATTTTACTCTCCTTTCACATCATCTGTAGGCAACGAGCTATTTTATGGTCTTCTCCAAGACTTTGTCAAACACTACATGGAACATGTCAGCAATTGTGCTCATCAGATGTTCACTACTATCATAATATCATCGGGCAACTATCAAGTTATAGGTCCACTGTTGAGTTTGCGGGTTCTTGCTTTTATTAGTACAAAATAAATTGACATCCAACAAATATTCCACTTGTTCGTCAAGAGCTTCCACTTTAAAAGTGTTTTGACCTGGAAGGATGTTTAGGACTTGTGTAGGATGAATCATTTCCACCAAATTCATTTCCCAATAGTATTCGTGATCCGTTTGGATGGCTGAGGTAATGTGACTTGAAACAGCACAAGGTAATTTTGGGAAACACATCCATGGATATGTCACTGTGCAATGTTAAGTAAAATTGGCTATTGATAATTTCAGAGTTCTAGTGTCCGAGGGGTTGCTGGAGGTCAGGAGAGTGTCTAAGAAAGAAATGATGTGATGGTTACGGTGACTGTCAGAAGGGTGCCTGAAGTTGGAAGCCGACTCCCGTTATTGTTACCATTAGAGGAATATTACAGGGCAGGATTGGGAAGAAGGTAA